GACTATAAGCCACGAACTGGTCATAGTTTCTTCTTTAACCAAACTATTTCACCTGGAAAGGGTAAAACACAAGCTATCTAAAATAAAGAGACTACCACTTGTAAGATTTCACAACAAACTTCTCTTGCGAAACTTCCTCGAAGAGATGCCATTTGATGGAGAATCAGATAAACTTCCCCTCGATCCTGACTATGAGCCACGAAATGGTCCCAGTTTCTTCTTTAACCAAGATATTTCACCTAGAAAGGATAAAAACACAAGCTATCTCAATTAAAGAGACTACCACTTGTAAGATTTCACAACAAATTTCTTTTGCGAAACTTCTTCGAAGAGATGCCAATTGATGGAGAATCGGATAAACTTCCCCTCGATCCTGACTATAAGCCACGAACTGGTCTCAGTTTCTTCTTTAACTAAGATATTTCACCTGGAAAGGGTAAAAACACAAGCTATCTCAAATAAAGAGACTACCACTTGTAAGATTTCACAACAAACTTCTCTTGCGAAACTTCCTCGAAGAGATGCCATTTGATGGAGAATCGGATAAACATCCCCTCGATCCTGACTATAAGCCACAAACTAGTCTCAGTTTCTTCTTTAACCAAACTATTTAACCTGGAATGGGTAAAAACACAAGCTATCTCAAATAAAGAGACTACCACTTGTAAGATTTCACAACAAACTTCTCTTGTGAAACTTCCTCGAAGAGATGCCATTTGATAGAGAATCGGATAAACATCCCCTCGATCCTGACTATAAGCCACAAACTGGTCTAAGTTTCTTCTTTAACCAAACTATTTCACCTGGAAAGGGTCAAAACACAAGCTATCTCAAATAAAGAGACTACCACTTGTAAGATTTCACAAAAAACTTCTCTTGTGGAACTTCCTAGAAGAAATGCCATTTGATGGAGAATGGGTTAAACATCCCCTCGATCCTGACTATAAGCCACGAACTGGTCACAGTTTCTTCTTTAACCAAACTATTTCACCTTGAAAGGGTAAAAACACAAGCTATCTCAAATAAAGAGACTACCACTTGTAAGATTTCACAACAAACTTCTCTTGTGGAACTTCCTCGAAGAGCTGCCATTTGATGGAGAATCGGATAAACATACCCTCGATCCTGACTATAAGCCACGAACTGGTCATAGTTTCTTCTTTAACCAAACTATTTCACCTGAAAAGGTTAAAAACAAGCTATCTCAAATAAAGAGACTACCACTTGTAAGATTTCACAACAAACTTCTCTTGCGAAACTTCCTCGAAGAGATGCCATTTGATGGAGAATCAGATAAACTTCCCCTCGATCCTGACTATAAGCCACGAACTGGTCCCAATTTCTTCTTTAACCAAGATATTTCACCTAGAAAGGATAAAAACACAAGCTATCTCAATTAAAGAGACTACCACTTGTAAGATTTCACAACAAATTTCTCTTGCGAAACATCCTCGAAGAGATGCCATTTGATGGAGAATCGGATAAACTTCCCCTCGATCCTGACCATAAGCCACGAATTGGTCTCATTTTCTTCTTTAACTAAGATATTTCACCTGGAAAGGGTAAAAACACAAGCTATCTCAAATAAATAGACTACCACTTGTAAGATTTCACAACAAACTTCTCTTGCGAAACTTCCTCGAAGAGATGCCATTTGATGGAGAATCGGATAAACATCCCCTCGATCCTGACTATAAGCCACAAACTAGTCTCAGTTTCTTCTTTAACCAAACTATTTAACCTGGAATGGGTAAAAACACAAGTTATCTCAAATAAAGAGACTACCACTTGTAAGATTTCACAACAAACTTCTCATGCGAAACTTCCTCGAAGAAATGCCATTTGATTTAGAATCGGATAAACTTCCCCTTGATCCTGACTATAAGCCACGAACAGGTCTCAGTTTCTTCTTTAACCAAGATATTTCACCCGGAAAGGGTAAAAACACAAGTTATCTCAAATAAAGATACTACCACTTGTAAGATTTCACAACAAACTTCTCTTGCGAAACTTCCTCGAAGAGATGCCATTTGATGGAGAATCGGATAAACATCCCCTCGATCCTGACTATAAGCCACAAACTGGTCCCAGTTTGTTCTTTAACCAAGATATTTCACCTAGAAAGGATAAAAACACAAGCTATCTCAATTAAAGAGACTACCACTTGTAAGATTTCACAACAAATTTCTCTTGCGAAACTTCCTCGAAGAGATGCCATTTGATGGAGAATCGGATAAACTTCCCCTCGATCCTGACTATAAGCCACAAACTGATCTCAGTTTCTTCTTTACCCAAACTATTTCACCTGGAAAGGGTAAAAACACAAGCTATCTCAAATAAAGAGACTACCACTTGTAAGATTTCACAACAAACTTCTCTTGTGGAACTTCCTAGAAGAGATGCCATTTGATGGAGAATCAGATAAACTTCCCCTCGATCCTGACTATAAGCCACAAACTGGTCCCAGTTTCTTCTTTAACCAAGATATTTCACCTAGAAAGGATAAAAACACAAGCTATCTCAATTAAATAGACTACCACTTGTAAGAGTTCACAACAAATTTCTCTTGCGAAACTTCCTCGAAGAGATGCCATTTGATGGAGAATCGGATAAACTTCCCCTCGATCCTGACCATAAGCCACGAACTGATCTCAGTTTCTTCTTTAACTAAGATATTTCACCTGGAACGGGTAAAAACACAAGCTATCTCAAATAAAGAGACTACCACTTGTAAGATTTCACAACAAACTTCTCTTGCGAAACTTCCTCGAAGAGATGCCATTTGATGGAGAATCGGATAAACATCCCCTCGATCCTGACTATAAGCCACAAACTAGTCTCAGTTTCTTCTTTAACCAAACTATTTAACCTGGAATGGGTAAAAACACAAGCTATCTCAAATAAAGAGACTACCACTTGTAAGATTTCACAACAAACTTCTCATGCGAAACTTCCTCGAAGAAATGCCATTTGATGTAGAATCGGATAAACTTCCCCTTGATCCTGACTATAAGCCACGAACAGGTCTCAGTTTCTTCTTTAACCAAGAGATTTCACCCGGAAAGGGTAAAAACACAAGCTATCTCAAATAAAGAGACTACCACTTGTAAGATTTCACAACAAACTTCTCTTGCGAAACTTCCTCGAAGAGATGCCATTTGATGGAGAATCGGATAAACATCCCCTCGATCCTGACTATAAGCCACAAACTGGTCCCAGTTTCTTCTTTAACCAAGATATTTCACCTAGAAAGGATAAAAACACAAGCTATCTCAATTAAAGAGACTACCACTTGTAAGATTTCACAACAAATTTCTCTTGCGAAACTTCCTCGAAGAGATGCCATTTGATGGAGAATCGGATAAACTTCCCCTCGATCCTGACTAAAAGCCACAAATTGGTCTCAGTTTCTTCTTTAACTAAGATATTTCACCTGGAAAGGGTAAAAACACAAGATATCTCAAATAAAGAGACTACCACTTGTAAGATTTCAGTGCAGGGGAGGGGCACCCCCAGTGTAGGGCCAATTTCAGTGCCGGTTGGAGACCTGGTTCGAGATGCATATCTTGAAAGAGAGCCATCACCTCGCCCAACATCCCTTCCTTTTCAATAGTAAATTCGAGAGCCAAATCCAAAAGCTTAATTAAAAAGCAATTGATCTTGATCCAATTCCCGATGCATAGGGCGAAATCTGGTTGAAGCCCCCGGTCATTTTTAGTAGTGCTGCTCGCTATAAATATCTTTTTGAGGACAGCTGACGTCAAAAATTGTAGTTAATTATGAATCTTCTTCTCAGAAAGACCATCGAAGAAGAGCATATCCACCTTGAAGACCTTCTGGAAAGTAGCCTATGGAAAGAGCATACCCAACCAATATGAGCCTGTCCGAGACTTGCCATTCCCATGGAAGAAAGTTTCCATGCGTATTGATTCATTACCGACTGAACGGAATATGCTTGCTTCTATTCCCTCCCTCCGAGCGATTAACCGTGATTGTATAACTGTACGGAATCTCTATCTCATAAGATAGTAGTCGGAAAACTCATTATTGCCTGTCTTACAGTGTGTCTCTTGAGCAGTCTTTCCTACGCCACCGTCAGCGGTACTGAGCTAAGTCAACTATTTTGATAAGGGTAGATTCAATAAAATGAAATAAGACAACTGCTACTAAGAATCTAGTTTTCTAAACAGACAAAGATCCTTAGATTAGATTCCAGACCGAGGTAGCAAAGGCTACGCTTTGAGGGAAATCGAGACTTGCAAGCACAAGACGGTTGTGATTGGGTGATCAGCTCTGTACAGGGCAGAGGATCCCGTGAAGAGAGACACGCTACACTAGACCGATAGTGGCTACATACCATACGGATAAGACTTCTCTCATACAATGGCTGTTCCAAAGAAGGAGAAGGATCGTATAGAAGAGCTGGTGGATCCCCAACTCTTGGGGAAAGTAGCCCAGCCTTCTACCATTATAGAAAGGGATGTAACTTCCGGTAATAAATAGCTAGTTCTGATTCACGTGTACCAGCCCTTCCTTATGCGTCCTTATACTATTATTTCTCCCCCTCATAGATTTACTGTTCTGTGCGAAGCTTGCAAAACCTATTCAGGGCATTTAGATTACGGTTCAGAAATTTCATAAGAGAAGAAAGCGTAGAAAGGCAATCCGCAGTCAATGAAACTGACTATTGACTATTTAAGTAAGACCAAGACCTGACATACGAAATACAGAATAGAAGGTTCATCCATGCTTTTAACAATCTCTACTGTTACTGGTTAGACCGACTTGCTGGCTTCTTTCATTCCTTCCCCCATTCCGTGTCTCCAACCCGCCATAGGGAACTTAGATGATTCATCCTAGCTTAATTAGGGCTTTCGCCCTTCAAGGTCTTAGGAATCGATTGAATCATCCCTGTACTTCGACTCGATAGAGTGATCGAATCGGACGCTGTGCCATTGATTGAATTTCAATAGGCTCTTAGATGGGCTTGTTGAGATAGGTCAGAATGAAGCAACCCCGGTGGACAGTTGACCGGAAGATAACTTAGATTCTCCCGGCCAGCTGGCGGGCGGCGTGCTTATCTTGTGTGACAACACTACAGAGCGAGTGGCTCTTCTAGGCAGGCAGCTGTGTGACAACACTACAGAGAAAGCGGCGCTTTCGTTTAACATGCTATGGTCTCAACGCCCTTACGAGATAGTGATGAGTTTCACGCGCTCTAAGCCCGGCCCGCGCCACGCGCGGTTAGGAAGATTGGCCGCAATCTGAGCGGTACCACCCACCCTACCCTACCACCTATAGGCGGTCGTCCGTTCTACAGCCGCCCGAAAAGGAACTGCAGTGGTCTTGAATAGGGATCCTACAGCGATAGATAGAATCCCCATAAAAATACCACTAGATCGAGCACCAGTTATTTCGTATCCGGTCAAAATCTTGGCTAATTGATCGAAGTGGGTAGCTCCAGTAGACCCATAGATCATTGAACAAATAGGGTGGGTAGGCCCAACCACCACACTACACGTATAGACGCGAACCCCCCTCGTTACCGTACGTGCGACTCTCACCGCATACGGCTCGCACAAAGACTCCTAAATCCATCCCGAGCCTTTTCTTCCACCTCTCCTCTCCAATCCTCGATCAAACTAGCGTTCCCCAGGCGCTATGAAATGGGGGTCTTTCCTTCGCCTATCGTATGTATCGGCTTGGCTTTGTCCAGAACCAAGGAGGCATTCTGGCGGGCGCGTGCGTGTAGGAAGGCCGACCACTACGCTAAAAGACTACGACGACTACAACGGAAGCGAGTCGCTTCTATTCTCGTTGGGATTTTTTATCTCTGGGGAATCTATAGATCATAGTAGTTCGCCAACCTCTCTAACTAACATACGATACAATTTAACTTCACGGCACGGCAAAAAAGAAAGAGCTTCGCTCGGTGGGCCTTCTTGCGCTGACGAATGCCTCCTTTAGACTAAGTCAACTTGCTCGTGGAAAGGCAGGAGCCTGGAAGCCAGGAAGAACGAGCCCTTAAATTCTTCTATTCTGACTTTTATTCTCTCCCCTAGGCGGATTTAGAGCCCCCTCCCTTACTGAATGAATCCCTCACAGGCTGAACCAGTACCGATATCGACCGACCTGTTGTCAATCTTAAGGCAGTCCTCCCTTACTTGAAATCTCTAAGTCTCAATCTATGGGAGATATTCATAATTATTAACTGATAAATCGAGACTACGTGACACATTTCTTCCACTGATGAGCTTTCTCGGTCTCGTGACGAGCTTTATCGCGCCCTGAGCATCTCCTCCTGTAAAGGGCTCTATCAAAAGCCCTGTATTTGAATTGGTTGGCTTTTTAGATTATCAAATGCCAGTGTAGTTCCTCCTTAGAGGCATTCCAACATGTAGCCCATTATCCGACCTTTCCTTTCACTCTGCCTCTTTTTCTGGGTTGGGACTTGCGATTGATTCTCCGAGCGGGAGTGACATGACTTTTTCTATCTATGATGGTTCGGGAGTCATTGAAGCAAGCAGTAGTCATAGTGCTGGTGAGCTGGAGTCAAGTAATCCGAACGTTGCAGTCTTTTTGGGAAGCATAGTTTTGGTTGTCTTACTGGCCGTAATGCTTGCTTCCAGGATTGAATAGTGATTGGGCCTATCCTATCTAATTAGTGAGTATTTGTAGAGCCTTTTGCCGCGCTTCTTGATGTTTATCTTTATCGATCGGGACGTCTTTTTATTTGGTTTTTAATCCGGAGAAAATTCAACACGTACATTAAGTGGATTGAGAGATGAGTCTAAGGTTCAAAGAAAGGCTTTAGCTGCCCATTCTGGAACACGAACATGAAGCCTGATCCTAGTACTATACTAGTAGGTAGGGCTTATTATGGAATAGGAATAGAAAGCCCGGGAGGTCCCCCCGTGTTTAATAGCATATCTAGTTTCTGCCTGGTTTGCTCTTTCTTTGTCGCGGACCAATGTGAGAAGCCCTATTAAGTGACTGATTGTGTTGAGTCGGATACCTCTTTAGAACGAAGTTTACCTCTACCTACTATAGTACTCAAATGACTTCGTTCCTTGAAAGCGCTCTCTGCTTGATCTGGCACTACTACTAAAAATTCGGGTGATAGACGAAGGCGTTGGTCCATCGGTGCCTTAGGGGCAATCATCTGCGCCAGTGTATAAAAATAAATTTGCAATTTTTACAGTAGCGAGGAGAGCGTAGCTGACCTCTTTCTAGTAATCCCCTGAGTCTCCAATCTAAGAGAAAAGTAGCTCCTGGCTTCATGTCTTGCTGATCGATTGACTTCTTTTCTCAAGTTTTGTTTCTCTTTCAGTTGGTGATTAGGGATTGGCATAGTTCCCGTCTCCCCCATTTCTGGCCAAAGAAAAAGAAGGGGAATTCCTTCAAGGCAGCAGGAACGGATGGATAAAAAAACAGGATTGTTCACCGAACACAAGACCTGGTTATACGGGATAAAAACGAGTATCAATAAGGAAAGGGCTTTCCCTATTAAGGAGGCGGATCCATTTCGGATGCTTTAGATATAGCAACCTGGGGATTAGGGTAAGTAAGGGAATCAGTAATCGTTCTTGCTTGTTGGTCTGTTTGCTTTCGGCTTTGCAATTAAATAAAAAAAAGAAAGAAGCGACTAAAATATCGTATCGTATATAGAGAGAGTAAAGCCGTTCCAATCTGCTATAGCAAGTCCTTCTTCACTGGAAGGATGGAACCCTGATTGGTATGCCAACATTTTATCTGGGTAGGTTGACCACATTGGAGGAAACTGGTTACCAGGCTTGTTACCATGTCTCCCGAGTGATGATCTCCTCAGTACATATGTCGTAAGATGTGATTCTACATCTCTAGTTTTGTGCCGCCCGAGGAACACTCTTTTTTTTTAATTGAAAAACTTATTGAACCGTAGCCCCGAAATTCAAAGGAGCAGAACTGACTGCTGGTGGAGCAATGGCTGATGGGAAGGTTGACTGACGATAGGTGTTTGGGCATAGATAAAAGATATACGCGCTTCTCCTTCATAAAAGAGCGAAAAGGCCATTTCTAATTCTGCTTAAGCGGATTAAGAAGGAAATTAAGCCCTTGGCAGAAGGGGTACAGGTAGTACGCGTACTTGGTGGCAGAAGACAGATGAAAAGGAAGGGCCAGATCGAAAGTTCCCCAGGACAAACCTGTTAGGAAATGCCCCAACCCCTGATGAAAGAGCTTTTCCTAGCGGCTTTTATTAGAGACAGGAGGGGGTGAACCCCAAAGCATTCTCCAAAACCAAGACCGCTGCTCCGAATCGAAAGAGGAGACAGACAAACTCTATTCGGAAAGTATTCCCGGAGAAAGAGAAGAACCTTGTATGTATACTACGATATACGTGCATACTCCAATGCAGCCTTCCAGGCCCGCGAGAATAAGTGATCGGACTAGGATAAGGTTGTTAGGCTGAGGTCAAGTAATTCCTGCTACTTAGTCGGCAGTTTGACCAACTGCTTAAATAAATGCAATTGGCCCTGGCTATATGCTTAACACTTAGCAATCGTACAATGCATACTCTTTATCCCGGAAGGAGAAGTCGGTAATCGATAACCTAAGCCGCTACTCTCGCCCTTAATGTACTACTAATCGCTCACTCGCTGACCCAGCTCTGGCACGCTTGCTTCCAGTCGTATGTAGCAGGTTAAGGGTGCTAATAACTCAACCAAACAATAAACTAACAAAGACTATGAAACTATGGCTACACAGCACAAGTACTCAATCATTGAACTAGGCCATAGGGATTCATTCAATGCTTAAAGTGAGAGCTAAGGGTTGAGTTCAACTAGTCAGTATTGGGTTAATAGGGTAGATAGCTTGGATCTTTTTTTATCCTGTTAGGAGAGGGTGAATGCACATAGATAGGATGCACGCTCAGAGCCAAGGATTTAAGGGCTCGTTCTTCCTGGCTTCCAGGCTCCTGCCTTTCCACGAGCAAGTTGACTTAGTCTAAAGGAGGCATTCGTCAGCGCAGGAAGGCCCACCGAGTGAAGCTCTTTCTTTTTCATGTTAAAAACATGAAAAATATTTTTTACACCATTTTTATATTTTTTTAAGTATTTATTGGTTTATATGGGCATTTGTACATAAATATATATATATATATATATATATATATATATATATATATATATATATATATATATATATATATATATATATATATATATATATATATATATATATATATATATATATATATATATATATATATATATATATATATATATATTATTTAGAATAGATAGGAGAAATAATGCAAATATACTTTATTTTCTGATTTTTTATTACATTTTCCTTTTTGAAAATATTTTAGGCAAAATATACTTTTTTTTTATAAATATTAAATATTATTATTTTATATATATAATACATATTTAGAAATTAATATATATATATATATATATATATATATATATATATATATATATATATATATATATATATATATATATATATATATATATATATATATATATATATATATATATATATATATATATATATATATATATATATATATATATATATATATATATATATATATATATATATATATATATATATATATATATATATATATATATATATATATATATATATATATATATATTTATTAGTATATTTAGGTTAAAATACAAAAATACCTATATTTTTTATTTTATTAATATTTGACATAAAAAAATACTTTTTATAAATATACTTCATTTTATTTTATTTTTGTACATAATAAACAAATACTTGTATAAATTAAATAATATATATATTACTTAATAAAAATTAGGGTTTTACCCTTAAAAGACAAAAACTCCAAAAATAATACTTTTTTTATTTTATTTATTTGACATAAATAATACTTTTTTTTCATACATATAAAAACCTTTTTTGCATTTTGCATCTTTATTTTATTTTCCATTTAATTTATGCAATCAATTATCTTGTAAATATTCCAAAAATTGATGTAATAGCTAGGTTTAAATTTCTTGTCTAAATATCCCCCTATTTGAACATTTGTACCCCCCCTTCCCACATTGTGTTGTAATAGTGTAGGAATTTTACTTTTCTCACTTTAAACGCTTTCTAAATATACCATGCTAGAGTTAGGGTTTTGTATGCAAATAAAAAGAACAAAGTAGTTTGACCTAATTTCAAGATAATCAAGCATGAAAATGGACAACACATATCACACTTGCACCCCTAGGGTATTCCACTTGTTGCCTTTAAATAATTGGGCCATATTGCATGTTAGGTTTCTTTGGGTAAAACAAACAATTCAAAAGATCATAGTCCCTCGATGACGCTTTCGAAAAGTTGCCTAAAATGATCAAGTCCATTTCAAGGAAAAATTGCCCAAAGACATTTAACACTATTGCAATTATGGTCCAAACGATGACCCGCGCCTGTCCCTTTCACCTCCTAACACAAGATTGTCCACCAAATGCAA